AGTCCCAGAGCCTCCACCACTTTCCAGGAACAGGACCCTAGGCATGTTTCTTAACTCATGTAATCCCCACAGCAATGCTACAAAATAAATATTGTTATTATCCCTATTTTAAAGATGAGGAAACTGAGGCACAATGAAGTTAATTCATATAAAGGACATATGTCAGGCACTGTTATAAGTATTCAAAACCATTATTCATTTTCCATACCCTGTGGTAGATTGCAAAAATGGCCACAGTTCTTCACCACTCCCTGACCCCATGCCTTTGCAATGCCATTTAGCAGCCACTTCCATCAAAAGACATTCTATTTCCCCACCTCTTAAAGCTGGGCTGACTGGCAACTGCCATAGGACAACAGAATGTGGCAGACATGATGTGTCAGTTTTGAGCCTAGGCCTTAAGAGACAGTGCGAGTTTCCTGTGTCTTAGACCTTGATGCTGCCATGTAAACAAACCCAAGCTAGTCTGCTAGAGGATGAGGGACCATGTGGCACAGCTACCCCAGTCACTCCAGCTGAAGCTAGACAACTTTTGGACATGTGAGTGAAGCCACTCAGTCTCCAGATGACCCCCAACTGACCACAGAACCTGAGCAAGCCCAGGAGAGATTTGCTAAGCTTACCCCTGATCTGCAGAACTGCCCAGTTGACCCCTAGGCTCAAGCAAGAGTCATGGTTGTTGTTTCAAGTCACTGAGATTGGGGTGGTTTAAAGGGTATAGTAGGGACTCCTAAAGACCATATAAGTTTGGAAAGGACACATACTCAAAAAGGCCAAGATAGAAAGATGTAGGAGCACAAAGAAGGAAGGATGGATCTCTTCTCGCCAGAGCAGGGGGGCCAGTGCATTCCTGGTAGAGATAGTATTGGGATCAGGCCTTGAGGGAGAGTGGTGTCTGTAAGGCATCCCCACTCCTAATGGCACAGCAACTAAAACCTAAATCCCAAATGTCCACCCAAGAGCTTCAGACTCATGGATGAGTCAGGCTCCCTCCCAGTCACAGGCACCAAAAAGTCTCAAGAGGATGTCAAGCTGGTCAGGACAAGGAGCACCACACCTCCACCTGGGTGGCCTTGAGACCAGATTACTGGACACCCAGACACAACCCAAAATGTCTAGCCAGGGGCCAAGTCCTCCTATCTCCCTGCTCCCCTGTGCAGACTTCATGGCCCTCCTTTCCCATACTCCATTAGCATTCCTAATAGATCCTGTAAAGAGCCATGCAACTCCAAACTCAGGGAAATGTTCAAAACCATGTTCAATACCAAAATGAGACAAGAGAAACCATGATTAATTCACAAGGAAGCAACTGGCTTTAGAGACGAGATGAAGCAGGCAAGAAGACAAGGGGTGTCTGTCAGCAGCAGTTACTTCCAATGAGCAGCTTCACACATAGTACCTGCTGGCTCACAGGGGAAGCAGTGTGAACTGACCATCAGGCCAGCAACTACAGAGGGAACCAGGCATTATCTCCAAACCGGCTTTGATCAAAAAGTTATACATGCTCACAGTTTAAGACTCAGGAACTTTACAAGATTTACTAAAAAATAACAGCCTTATGCCTCTCTAACCCAAATACCCCCAACTCCCAGAAGCAACCACTCTCAACTGTTTCTACTGATCTATTTGGTATTACCTAGATATCTCTGAAATATCAAGAAGGAGCCATACGTGTGCTTTTAGCTCTTGGCATCATTTATTTTCTTTCCAATGTAGTGAAAACAGTGCTGTTTGCTTCCTATTAGGGGCTTTCCTGAGATATCTTCTGATCCCTACCTGTCAGGTCTATTTAAGGTCAAGACACTAGCATGCTGATTGGAAGCTCAATCACATGGTAAGACTTACCAACTGTAGGACAACCAAGCAGTCAGTCCACTAAAGAACTTCCAATGTCAGTATCTCTGAAGAAGTGACAAAAAAGAGACCCTAAAGAAGTTTCCTTTAAATTCCTGCCCATAGCATTACAGGCCTGGCAGTCAGCAACCTGGAAGCTGAGTGGGAGAAGAAGCTATTATAGAAATATTCAAAATGATACCGTTTTTACTACAGCACACCTGTATCTATAGTGCATGGTATCTTCCCCATCTCAGGCCAGAGACCATCTGTTTTATCTTCTCTGAGAAAAAAAAAAAATCTTCTTCCCACCTGTGTGGGAAGACCAATCACCAACACCATGGAATGGAAGAGGATTTCCCATTCTAACTGCTTCTAAAATAGATTTTCTGCTTTTTCAAGCATTGTCTTTACCTCCACCTCCAGAGATACCTGAAAGTGACAAATTCTGAGCTTTTTCCTGGATCTTCAGTTGTAATTCAGGCTGCTTCTGACCAGAGACTGCTTAAGCCAGCAGTCAGGAAACCCAAATCAGTTACCACTTGTCTCCATGCTTTTCAAAATGTGTATATTTTTGTTCCATTTCCCTTTTACTTTGTTTTCCTAAACTTATATCTTTTTTTACTTGCTTTTTGTTTACTTGCTTTTTGTTTACTCTCAAAACTTGACTAACATGCCAATGAATGTATATGTTCCGTCAGCCATCTCTACCTAGAACCTAAACTGACCTTCAACTCTAAGAAATCTCAGCCCTGAGTTAACAAGGAGACTCAGAGAACACCTTACTCCCCTGTTAGTCTCCTGAAACCAACCAAATATCCTCCCCCATGGAACTACAGACAGGAGGAAAGGTCCCACAGCACCAGGGACACAACACCTTTCCAACACATCACCTGTTGTGATTAACATATCAGCTATTGTTTCAGACTGGGCAGCCCCAGTCCCTTTCTGAAGTTGTGTATGTGGCCCAGGCCTAACCAGTCATAACATCTCATTACCCAGGGCAGTGATTGCCCCAGAAGTGGAGAGGTGATTCAACTTAGACCAATCAGAGTCCTTTCCTAGGTACAGAGTCAAGGAGAAGAAGTACTGGAGAAAAGAAAACTTCTGAGATGAAAAGATGTTGACTTGGAGCTGCCAGAGGCTACCTTTTCCACCACATAGAAAACATCTGTCTGTAGTGAGAAACAATCAAGCCACACTGAGATGTGTGTGAGAGACAGAGACTGAGCACAAGATGGAAACATTGAGAATGATGATAGCAAACAGAATGGGAAGAGAAAGAGAAATGGGCATTTCTGGAATAAGATGGAAGGAATTCTGTAACATGGACATGCAAACTAGTAACTGATATTTGTAGGTGAGAAGCAGTGGGAGAAGTGTCAAATGAGCTAAAGACAGTAGCGTCCCAATAACTGGCTCATGGGGGTGTCAGCACCAGTGAGGGAAAGAGAAATGGGAGGCCCAAGACGGTGGAGTTCACAGAGAAGCCATAGAACCAAAAAGGAAGAAAAGAATTATCTGAGCCCAGTGTAGGTGTCTTTCATCCCAGCATCTTTGTCTCCATTACCAAATTAAAAAAACAAACAAACAAAAATCTGTCATGTGTTCATTGTAAGCTTAATTCAATCTGTCTCAAGAATGGATGTAACAAGGAATAGAAAATATCCATGCTATGTGCGACTTTTCTAATGTGTTCACCTGGACAGTGATGACAGTCTCACCTTCCTGACTTTTCTGACAGTGTGGTCTATCAATTATCTCTGAAAAACTTAGAGACAGAGGGAGGCAAACCATAAGAGACTCTTAAGAACTGAGAATAAACTGAGGGTTGATGGGGGATGGGAGGGAGGGGAAAGTGGGTGATGGGTATTGAGGAGAGCACCTGTTGGGATGAGCACTGGGTGTTGTATGGAAACAATTTGACAATAAATTTCATATTAAAAAAATACATTCACATTTGAGCCAGATTTTTTTTAATTAAAAAAAAACTATCTCTGCCATGCAGCAAAACCGTGTGCGCGCACACCCACACACACACACACACACAGCACTTTCATAGATGTACATGCACACATATACACAGAAATGAACTTTCCTAGCATGAAACAATACCCTAACTTTCAAAATCACCAATTTTGCCTGTTGCCACAGTAACCAGCAGCATTAAGTCCTGCTTCTAAAATTTTAAGAGCAGATGACATGAAGTATTTATGTGTAATTGTACTGTGTAAGCAGAAAGATCTTTTCTTTCATATAAAATATGAGTGTATCTCAGGGGAGATGGGTGTTTATATCATAATGCTGTCAGACAAATATAACCAAGTCCCTCTGCCTCCCTGGCTCTCCACCCCAGTATGTATGTGTGACTTCCAGAAGAAAGTGGAAAGCAAGATGGCAAAGAGGGATCAGCCTCCACAGGAAGTCCCTGAACTGATTTGTGTTGTAGTCATTCCAAAGATCCTCAGGGGCTCAAGTCTATTTACTTCCCAAATTGAGTGGGTGGGATTACTCTTTATTTCAACTCTTACAAGCTGGAGTTCCTATTGTCCCCAGTGATTGGCTGGTTCCTGGGCGCCATTAGTCATCATGGTGTGTCAGCATGGAAGGGCCCAGGAATGAGGTCAGAACCCTTCATTTTGCAGGTGGAGATTGACAGGGGTCATAACTGGATGGTTCTGGACAAGAAGGGTATAGTCAGTGGAGGCCCCCCATGCTGCCTCCACCCCAAAAAGAGCCAGAGCCAGGTCTGGATTGGGCCATATTGATTTTTCCCTCATCCAGAGGCTTTCTGCAGATATTCTAATGTCATTTTCAGACCATTTTACTTCTGGAGACAAGGCTGTGCAGTTCCATAACTGGCAATGACCCCAGGTAACAAACACTGAGAATTGTTTCTGAGCACTATAACACAGGGCACCAAGTAAACTCTAAAAAGAAATCTTCAGTCATGTAGCATTCACATCTCACATTCAGGACCAAGAGAAAGAACCTTATTCAATAAATAAGTAAATTTTTGTGATTATTTCTATAATCACATCTTTAATAAGCTTTCTGGGAAAGGTAGAGTTTTAAATGTTAATCTACTCATCCAAATAATTCTGATCTCCTTGAGGGAAGAAATGATTTCAAAATGGTGGGTAATGTTTTATTTTATTTTTTTGGGGGGTGGGGGGGTAATGTTTTATTCAAGGGGTGGTTCCCATGCTGGGCACAGAGCCCCCACAGAAGTAGCCTTCCTCCAATGCCTGTGGGATAGAGGAAAAGATGGAAGTGGATGGATGAAAATTCTCTACCAGTAAAATACACAAGAATGAATGAATAAATGAATGAATGAACAAACAAACACATGAATGAACAAACAAGTGAATGGTTTTAGAAAGGAGGGAAGGTTTGAGGGATAATCAGAGCCAGAAGATCCTGAAGGAAATGGGCAGGCTTTGGTTTCCAGGTCCAGGGAAAGACTAGCCTGCCTCTGCCTTAGCACATTCTGCAGGAAATCCCTTCTGGGCCACACCACATAGCACCATCTCCACTGCCTTCTGTTGCTGAAACTTGATTCAGCTGTGTCTGTTACAATGTCAGAAGGGAAAAAGAGAAGACAAATGAGAAATAAAATTATGATAATTTCCACTGCTTTAACAGTTGTGTTCATTTTCTGTGTGCCCAAGAAAGGAAGTTACGGTTCGCAGCTCAGTGACCAAGTTTTCTATGGTACAGCTGCTGGGCCATCTTGCTGTGACTGCATCCAAAGTCCACAGGACATGGAGAGCTCTGCTGGGGTTGGCCCTCCACCATAAGGGCCTGTGCCTGCCTCTTGTGGCAGCACCTGACCCACCCTCGACACTTCCATCTTTATCATAACAGCATCCTGTGTCTCAGATGACATCTGGTCATGAAACATTCCCAGGCTCTGTCTCCCTTCCCAGGGGCACCAGCATCTTCATGCACTGCTGGGTTTCTCTGAAGCTGCTCTCTATCCTGGTGGCCAGATTGTTTCTTACTTCTGCTGATAAACAAGGCAACAGGGCTTAATTAAAGAGTTCCTTCTTTGGGGGACAGAGCAACTACCTTCCCTTGATTAAAACGTTTGCCAGCTGTTTCCTGTTCTGGTTGCAGGTTGGCTTGAATGTTCAGGAAAGTCAAATACTTGACTCACTGGGTAATTATTTCTCCTTATTAAAAATCTCTTTTCCTCCATGTGATCAATATGCAATTCCCCGTCATGATGTTGAGCTCTTCCCACCTCTTCCATCCATCTCCACTTCCATTTTGGTTTTGTGATCTGATCCCACCCCTTGAGATGAAGGAATGAGCCCTCCGTCTTTGGAGCATGAGCTCTCCAGGCTTGCCCTGGTTCCTCTGAGTGTCCATGTCACCAGGGGAAACCCAGCCAGGCTGTTTTCCAGGGCTCTCCTTCACCCTTACTCACAACACAAAACCCTCAGTTGTCTACACTTGGAGGACACCCTCGCAGCAAAGGCAGCACTAGGAGCCTCTTCACCTCAGAGATGAGTGTCTCTGGACACTCTGATGTCTCCCCTCCCTACCTCCTGCCCTACCTGCACAGATTTTCTGAGATGCTGGGATTGAGGGAAGATGAAGAGAGAAAACTTCAGAAAGCTGCACCCAGAAGGCAGAGCCCAGACATAAAATGTTTAAGAAGGCAAGAAAAATATCCACAACCTTAGAAATGTCTATGCCAGATTGCTTTTCATTTTGGAAAAGGCCAAGTCCACCCATCTCTGTTGGCATTCCTCAGCATACTTTATACCCCTATGTCACTTTAGGACACAGAAAGTCAACAAAGAACAAAGCTACAATTGAAGGAATGGGTTTTATTCACCCTTTCAACAATTCATTGGTTGATTACTCTGTATCAGGTAAAGCTCTAGGTGCTGGGACTAGAACTTCTGTCTCATCTGAGTTTATGTTTTCAATGGATGAGAGCAGAAGTTCTGCTGACTGGGACACACTAAGAAGACAGAGTGTGACCTGGGTGACTGGAGCGGAAGGGCAGGTGACTCATGTAGTTTGGGTACAGGCAAAGAAAGCTCTCTGAAGAGGCTCCTCCCACCTGCCTGGTCCAAAAGTCTCTACCCCATCCCCCTCTGGAAATAACAATTTCAAGCTCAGGAAAGCTAGATGTAACCCTTGAGACCATTGCCAAAATCTAAGTAAAACCTCTAGTAAAGATTTTAATACCCGATAAAGCAGATCTTCATCCCCAGTAGGCAACAGGGGAAGCTATTTAGGTTAAATACCTGATTTCAAGTTGTTGTTATTGCTATTGCTGCATTTTGTTTCTCTTGTGCCTGATAAAGGAGAGGAAAGCTGCAGTCTCTTGAAAACCATATGAGCAATAGTTTCCTGGAAGACAAAATCCCCAAAGACGTCTCTGAAACCGTCAATCATATTCTGACTCATGTACATCTGCTGGGCGTGGGAGTTTGCTAAAAAGTTGCCAGGTAATTTAGTGATATGTATCCAAAGCCTTAAAAAAATACCTTTTCTTTGCATCTTTCCTTAATTATTTCCTTTAAATATATTCCTAGAAATGGAATTCAGCTTGCAGTGAGGTTCACTGTAGCACTGTTTGTAAAAGTGAAAGGCTAACCACGTGCTAACTGCCCATCACAGGGAATTAATTATGTCTGCTGGGGCCCTGCACACCATCCCACAAGGAGGTGGCATGACTGATGAGAAACCTAAAGTGGGGGAACAGCAGGAACCAGTCTGCCCCACTGTGATTGATTTTTAACTGTTCCTATAAACACAAACGAGTCCAGTTAAACATCAAAATGTTCAGAATGATTATCCCTGGAGAAGTGAGAATACAAGAGATTTTCATTTTCCCTTCAGTATTCTCTTATTTTTAAAACATCACATGATATTTGAATGACTTTTTTTCAGGTTAATTTTTAAAAGACAACAAAATAGTTGCCCAGAGAAACCCTCTCTCCTAAGTGCAGTCCCCACTCCAAAGTGGATGGTAATTGGATTGCCGGGCACCCAGCAGGTGGCCCACCCTTTATTCAAGGGTCAGAGGTTACCTGGGGGTTAACTTGAGTCCATGGACCACAGTGAAGTCCTTGGGAAGGAGGGAATCTCTCAGAGTACAGGCAAATGTGACTGAACTCCCCACACTGCAAGACTCCTGGGAGAAGCAGCCATTCTGTTCTGCTCCCCTTAGTCAAGGCCCCACCCCACCACCCAAGGTGTCCAAGGCCCCACCCTCGGTCCATTTATCCAGAGCCCCCTGACCCATCAGACAGTGGGCTGTCCTCGAGCTATGAGTGGGGGAGGAGCACCCTTGGGGTCCTCTGGGCCTGCTCCCTTCCACACCCCTGTCCTTGGTGTGGGGGCTGTTTCCTCCTCCAGGCCTCTCCTTCTCCCCATAGGAAGGATATCCTGGTCCCTCCACCATTCCTCTGTGACTCTCCTTTCCACCACTCCCAGAGACTTGGCCTGGGGAAGGAGAAGCAAATTGTTTTTGTTCAAGATTAGGCTTTCCCTCTTCTACCACTGATATACTCCCAAACAGAAAAATAAGCTTTACAAAATTCAGTATTTACCTGCATATTTCCCATGTACTTCTCTCTCCCCCTGCCTCATCTCACTGGTCCATGGAGAGTCTGCTCCCAATTCACATTCACGCCACAGCTTCATCAGAGTCTCAGCTTTGCCTGCAAACAATCACAGAAACACACAATTGCATGAATTAGGTAATATCTTCAAAGGGCCCATTAACATATAAAGGTTTAGAATCATTAGCTTAGACCATGCCTATGAAGATGAACTAAAGGATTTGAAATCTTAAGCCTTAAAAAAGAAAAACCTGAAAGTAAGGAAATTTTCACTAAGTTAAACTTCCATCTCTGGAATCAAGTGCAACTATGATTCAGCTCTGAATGATAAGGTCACCCAAATGGGTGTGTTGTGGGGTCCAGGAAGGACAGACACCCACACTTTCCCTGAACACATAGATGGGGGCTAGGCTCTGTCCCAGGAGGTTAAATCTTATATTTCCATGAACCCTATAACTATCAGCAAATGTATTTTTATTTAAGCTCCAATCTTATATTGCATGTGTCCCTTTCCCTGGCTCTGAGCTCCTTGAGAGCAAGGCCTATGGTTTTTTCATCTCTATCTCCAGAGCCTTCTTTTAAAAGATGGGCATTCCACCATTTATTTGTGTACCTCGGCCCTCAGCATCCCTGACACACTGCCCTGCACCTGCATCAACATCCCAGATCCCCCACAAGGCTTGCATCTTTGCATCTTCCATGGCATCTTGCAGCCCTGGGCCCTGCACTCAGCAGACCAGTTTATGTGGCTCCATCTGTGTCTGACTCCTTCCTTGCACATGGCTCTGAAACTACCCCAGCCCTTCTTCCCAACACAGACCTGGGGGAGCTGGGTTGCGTATCTTTCCTGATATCCAGGTGCCTTCCATCCTTCTTTGCAGCTGTTTGCTCATTTTTCTGGATGCTTCTACACCTCCCAGGCCAGTCCTGTGATTCAGGTCATGCTCCTCTCACTCTGCCAGTGTGGGCAACAGAACTGCAGTGTTTCATGGCTTTGGGCATTACATCCACAAATGGAGCCATTGTGCACAGCTGTATCCGTGTAAAACAAGAGTTCCCTGCCCACAGGATGTGGGGGCCCTCTCTGTAATTCTCTTTCATCTCCCATTCTTTCAGAAGTTTCATTCTTGCCCATGAGGACTTTCCTCTCATCTGTGGACATTAAAAGCTGGTTAGAACGTTCTACTCAGTGCTGCCTGCATGTTAATGCTTCTGAATGGTCTCATTTTGATTCCTCTTGTTGTGAAACAAATGCCCTGGTGTCCCCCTTGCCCAAATTAACTATTTCAATCTGCCTGGCCATGCCTCAACCTCCCCAGACAAGGCCTGTCCTATACCATAATTAAAATTTACTGCATTCTTGGCTTTGTCATCTGGACCTTTCCATGTGATAAGAAGCACACAATTCTGAATTGTCTTCAAAATTGCTGTAAAATTGTGAATTATGGCAATTACAGTCAAACTTCAATTATTCAGATGTGCTAGGGGAACAGGACAATTTTGAATGAATGAAGAGACTTTACAAAAAAGTAAGTAATGCATAAGGAGAGTGGTTAGATTTCAGAGTACCCCATTTCTGTCACAGGACACTCAGCCTCACACTGCAGTAGAGAATACAAGTAGCCCACCTTGTAGGAAATCAAGAAACACCCAGCATATCAGCTCCTTCATAGAGCAAGATGAAAACATTCTGCAGGGGGTGGCCCCTGTTTCTACTGTGAGCAAACCCCATAGTTATGCCCATGTGAGCCACTGAACGGAAATCCCATCAGTCAGAGCAGTAATTTTCTGGGAGGCAAATTTAAATGCATGCTATCTTCTTTCTTACGAGATAACCAAACTAAAGGTTAACTTTCACTTACCAAAACCTTCCCACATCTCAGCCAGAGTGTCACCCTGCCTCTGCCTGCAACTCACCTTCACTCTAGGCAAGGGTGCTTTTAAAAGCTTCTCCACTTAGAGATCAGAAGTATTAACATGCTCTGCAAGCCAAAATGAGCCCAAGAAACTACACACTTGCAAATGTCTATTTTCAAAATGTTTACACTAAGGGAAATGTTAAGCCAGGTTCCCTAATTAGAACAAGTATCTGCATTGCGAGTAAGACGGGTTGTGACCACCAAGCAGAGAGGAAACCAAAGGCAAGATGACATGTGACAGGCTCCAGGTGAGCAAAGGGCAAGCCAGCCCACATCTCTTTTAGTTCTTTAGGCATTTAATCAACTGTAAAAACTGCTGCCTGCTGCCTCTTCTCCCAGTGGTCTCTCTATTATCACTAAAATAATAATGACAAATTGGGAAAGGCACAGAAGACAGGCAAATGTGAAGCCAAGTGTTACAGATAGCAACAGGAGGTGACAGCCAGCAGCCCTCAGGCACCAGGAGGAGCCAGGATGGCACTGAGGGCCTCCTCCCCAGGGAAGCAAAATCAGCTACCTGCATTTGTAGCCTACCAGGAAGCGGGGATGAACCAAGGAGGCTGCAGGATGGTGCCAAAAGAATCCAACCCCAAGCTGAATCAGCCATAAAGGATCAGCCTTGCCTTGTTTCTGGTTGAGAAAGGACAAAGGCAAAGCCCTGCAATTACAGGGAAGGAGTTTTAAGATAGCAGCAGAGGTCTCCCACCTTGGGCTTCACTGGGACAGTTAAGGGAAACTGCCCTCTGCAGTCTGGCTCACCAGGATCACTTTTATTTTTATTTTTATTTTTTTCAACGTTTTTTATTTATTTTTGGGACAGAGACAGAGCATGAACGGGGGAGGGGCAGAGAGAGAGGGAGACACAGAATCTGAAACAGGCTCCAGGCTCTGAGCCATCAGCCCAGAGCCCGACGCGGGGCTCCAACTCACGGACCGCGAGATCGTGACCTGGCTGAAGTCGGACGCTTAACCGACTGCGCCACCCAGGCGCCCCCAGGATCACTTTTAGATACCACCACTGGACTAAGTATTCAGGCCCCAGCCCTCTGAAGCCATCCACCAGTCCCCTGACTTTGGGGTTGTAGATTCTTTCTAGCACCCAAATTCCAGAATCCTCTTTGTCTCATCAGCTCATAGGTTATCCTGCAGAAAATGATGCCAGAAAAAGACAAGTCCACCAAATGCTGGAACTCCCTGGGGCTCCAGCTTCTTAGGCACTGAATGTTTCATGTTTGCTTTTGTGATTTCATTCATTTCCATTGTTCCTAGAATTCCCCTCCCTGAAACTCTTTACCCAGATCACCAACTCCTGCTCATCCTTCATTTCTTCAGAGACCACCCTGCACACCATCCCTCCTCCCCCATCATGATTAGATGCCATAGTGTGCACTCTGTTTCATCTTCATGACATTTATTCCTTCTATTCTTCAATAAATATTGAGCATTAACTAGTAACAGGTACAGAGGTAGGCACTGGGAATTCAGCCACGATCAAGAAAAAAATAGTCCATGCTATTGGTAGGGGGTATCATTGATATTGCATAACAGATATTTTATTACAATATTTGATATTTACATGCTAGGAAAGAAAAGTACCTTGAGCTATGAGGAAATGGTATGCAAAGAACCTGAGGTGAGGCAATTGGAGTTAAAGCACTACAAACAATTACACAAATGCTTTTTCTCCCCAGCTCCAACCCCTCCTGACAGTACACAGCCAAGGAGTCAGTGCCCTGGAACCTGCAGCTCACACCAGGGTGCAAGGGAAGAGGCAAGGGGGGGGGGGCCCTGCAGAGGCCATCCTCAGCTAAGGAGGGGAGTCTAAACCTTGGCTTTCTCTGTCCTTCCTCCCCAACCATTCCACAATTCATTTCTCATAATTAATTTGACAAGTGAGAAAACTATTTTCAAAGTAAACAAAATAAATCAAAATGGTGCTAACTTCTCTCAGTAATGTCCTCCATCAATCACAGATGACTCAGGTTTTTTAAACAGAAAGACAGAACGAAAGCTTTAAACTCAACAGCTCTCCCAACTCTGTAATATTAAGGTGTTGGAATTGATTTGTCATTAAAGAGAAAGCTACAAGTACTTTATATGCCTAGAAGGAGGGGGAAAAAATCAATGTTAAACTGCATAATTAGGAGAAGGGTGAGACAGTAGAAGGGGGTAAATTCCTTATTGATTCAGGAAAAACAACAACAAAAATAAAAAAAGAGTTGAACACTCATTTAATCCCTCCGTGCTGCACAAGGCAAGGTGACAACACAGGAGAGGAATGCAAGCCTGCATGCCAGAAGTGTGAATTCATCAGCCACACACCCTGCCCCACTCCCTCCTCACACCCAAGGGGTGTGGAAGGAGCCTGTCTGCACCTGACTCTCACCAAGTGCAAAGGATGGGCTGGAGCTGCATTGTTTGCTGCAGAACCAAAACTCACTGAGGGGAAGTGGGAAAGGGACAATAGCAAGTTAGGTCCCCCGGGGAACAAAACAGAGCAGCTTGAACCTTCCAAGTCAGGAGTCAGATGCTTGCCTCTACAGTACCATGAATAAAGCTTTGCTAAGCAAATTTAAAGTAAATATGGGCTCCCTAGTCTTTCTATAATAATAAAAAAGACAGTAACAGAAGTTGGTAAGGATGTGGAGAAATTGGAATCCTCATACATTTCTGCTGGGAATGTAAAATGGTGGAACTGCTTTGGAAAACCATTTGGCAGCTCCTTAGCTCTGAACAGAGATACCATATGACCCAGTATATGGTATATATCCAAGAGAATTGAAAATAATTGTTTATATAAGTTTTTATATAAAAACTTACACATGAATGTTCATAGTAGCATTATTCATAACAGTCAAAAAGTGGAAACAAGTATCCATCAACTGATAAATAAACAAATTAAATGTGGCACTTCCATGCAATGGAATTTTATTCAGCATTAAAAAAAAACAACCCCAGTGAAATACTGACACTTGTCACTGTGGTGACCCTTGAAAACATTATCCTCAGCGGAAGAAAGCAGATGCAAAAGACAATATATTGTATGGTTCCATTTATAGGAAAAGTCCAACACAGGCAAATCCAGAATGTAGAAAGTAGATTAGTCATTAGCAGGGCTGGGGAAGGAAGGGTGGAGAGTCACTACCTTTGGGTGGAGAGGGACCAAGGGTGACTACT